GAGAGGATAGACCCCAGCGCTTCCAAACAGGGTTATGATGTGCGCTCAGACGTCTGGAGTTTGGGAATCACACTGGTGAGGATGATGTGTGATCGGTCACGTGACCTCAAAGGGAACGTCTGTGTGATATTACAAAAGTGATTTCTATCTGCTTTTTGTGTGTTATACTGCTGCAATGCTGTTTCAGTATGAACTGGCCACGGGACGGTTCCCCTACCCGAAGTGGAACAGTGTGTTCGATCAGCTGACGCAGGTGGTGAAGGGCGACCCGCCGCAGCTCAGCAGCTCAGAGGAGAGACAGTTCTCCCCCAAATTCATCAACTTCGTCAACCTGTGGTGAGACACACACACACACACACACACACAGACTGTGATCTCCAGCATTTCCTCTTTCTGAGAGCTTGCTGACTCAGCACAAGGGAAGTCATTACTCAGATTTATTGTGCAACCACATGATGCACACGACGCCTCCTGCTGCTCAATCATAGCAACTGCAAGAGCTCAAGTTGACTTTGGAGGGTTTTAATTAAATCTTTGAATTATTTTTTTTTTGTTTCTAACAGCCTTACAAAGGACGAGTCAAAAAGGCCAAAGTACAAAGAGCTTCTGGTGAGTTCCTGTTTCCTGTTGAAGCCACACGTTCAGCACTTTCTGAAAGCTTTTCTATCTTCATGATAATAAAAGGGTTGTTGACGTTGAGTTTGAATGAGAGTTCCTACCGTAATAGAAAACCTGGGCATATCAGGGATTTTTTCAAATATTTTGAACTGGAGAAAATACTGTAAAATCTTGGTCATGGAAAATATGCTTTAAAATGTTTAATTGGCTAGAAATTGCTGTTTGTCTCTATAAAATTATTTTCCAAATCTTCATCCAAATAAAAAGCAGAGGAAATTCATTTGTCCAAAGGTGGAGAAAGCCTGGATATGGGTATATAAGTTTTTAAACGGCATGTTTGTAATTCTTGTAAATTAAATTAAATGAAATTATTAAATTAAATGAAATTATTGTTGTAGTAGCTATTTTATTAATACAATAATTTTTTTGTTTAGAATAATAATCATTAATTATTTGTGCCAACATAAGAGCATCGACTTTTTAAGTAAATATTCTTATTAATAACAATAAGAATAGTTGTTGTTGTTATTATTATTATACATGATCTCATATTATTTAAGATATCACATAAAAAATGAATGCATTTTTTCACACGGATGGACTATTTAAAATCTACAAAAATATCATAAAAAATTGTGAAAAACTTGTTCACAGATTTTGAATTTTGCACTTTCCCTTATGAATATTATACATTAACCTAAAAGCTTGATGTTAGAAAAAATATGCATATTTTTATCTATATTTTTATATTTATATTAATTTATATTTTTTATTTATACATTGTATGTTTTTATTTATACATTGTATGTTTTCAAGGGGGAATTTACCAAAATAATTATATAATTTATATAACAGCAACAACAATAATAATTAAATTCTATAATTTCAGAATGAATTTTTCAGTAGCTATTGATTATTATTATGATCAATAGCTACTGAAATATAGCTATTATTATTATTATTATTGTTTACAAATACAAATAGCAATTTCTTAGCAATTTCAACCTAATAAAATATTTAAGAGTTTAACATAATAATAAAAAAAAGTATATTCATCATATCAATTTCCATGACCTATATATTTTTAGTTTTGTGAGTTGAGTTTTCCCGGTCTAGAAATCACACCCTAATTTAGCCAAGTTTTATTTCCAAGACTGTGGGAATCCTGGTTCTTAAATATGATGGTTGTTGAGGCAGCAAAATAAAATATGACCTATTATGAGGTCAGTTTATGTCATTTTAGCATATTTCAAAGCACATTTTGTCTTGTTTTAAATCATGTTAAGCCATCTTTTATGCGTCAAATGTGATAAAAGCACAAGTCATTTAAGATGTGCATGTGAAACTCTTAAAGGGATAGTTCACCCAAAAATGAAAATGCTGTCATTAATTACTCACCCTCGTGTCGTTCCAAACCCGTAAGACCTTCGTTCATCTTCGAGTGTGTTAATTTGTGCAATGATAACCTACCAGCAATGTAAATGATTTTGAGACGAATTGTTGAATTAAGTGTTTTTTTTGGCGCACAAAAAGTATTCTCGTAGCTTCGTAATATTACGGATGAACCACTGATGTCACATGGATTATTTTACCGATGTCCTTGCTACGTCTCTGGACTTGGGAACACTTCAGTTGCATTGCTGTCTATGGGAGGGTCAGAAAGCTCTCAGATTCCATCAAAGATATCTTAAATTGTGTTCCGAAGATGAACGAAGGTCTTACGGGTTTGAAACGACATGAGGGTGAGTGATTAATGGCAGAATTTTCATTTTTGGGTGAACTATCCCTTTAAGAAGACTAAAGCAGAAGTGCTGTCGAGTTTAAGAAATGCAGTAAAGAAAAGCAAACGTCTCCTCTCTCTGTCTCTCAGAAACATCCCTTCATTCAGATGTACGAGGAGCGTACGGTAGACGTGGCCATCTACGTCTGCAGGATCCTGGATCAGATGCCCACGTCTCCCAGCTCCCCCATGTACGTGGACTAAGACGAGACGCAAGCGGCGGCGTAAAGATTTGCTTTCTCACAGAACGGCAGTATTAAAACAGGAAAACATACACGAGGGCACAGCGCTGCTCAATTCAAGCTTGACTGTAAAACACCTCCTACCCACGTCTCTCTCTCTCTCTCTCTCTCTCTCTCTCTCTCTCTTACTGTCTCTCTCAACACACACACATCTGTAAAGCGTAAACACACACACACGCCCGCGTATCTGATGGGAGGCGTGGCGGTCTGGTCTCTCAGAGTGATTTTAAACAGATATAAAGTAATGAAATAATAAATGATAAATAAGCCTGGAATTGTATTTATACTTCTGAAATCACTTATGGAATATATGATTCTGAAAGCCTTCCACGTACTGGAAATCTGCTCGTGTCTCGTCCCTCCTCTTCATGTATGTGCTATTAAACGTGTGTTTTGTATGTTAAGGTGAATGATGATGCAGAGGTGGCCGGGGTTTCTGTAATCCTCACTGTACAACGACTATGTGCTGATGTTATTAAAATAAAACTGAGGAATATGGAAAGGACTCCATGTTTGGCGCTTTTTAAAATGTAGTTAATCTTATTAAGAGAGAAATCCATTGATTTGACATTATCAAATGATTTGACATTTGATACAATGATTTCATATTTTATTAATTTTCTTGCGTATCAATGACTTTAATCACTTTTAATATGAATAATTAAGTTTACAGTGTAATTATTTTGTTTTACAATGTAATTCTTCAGTTTTGTAAAATCAAATTTTTATATTACAGATCTTTATTGTTGTATTATTTGTAATGTAATATAAACAAATTATTAAATATATAAGTACAAATAATGTTATTAATATGAATGTAGTTTTTTATATTACAGTTCTTTAAATATGTATTTTCATTAGTATTTTGAATCAAAAATGCATTAATGTATTTTTGATGTTTTTAATGTAATGTAATTATTTTTTATAATTTAATTCTTCAATTTTTTGTATCTTTTTTATGTTTAATGTATGTAATATAAATAATTATTAAAACTAAGTATAAATAATGGTATTAATATGAGTAATACGAATACTATTTTTTAATTTATAAATTTTTTTTATTTATTTATTTTTTTTTAATTAACAATATTTTGAATCAAAAGTACGTTATTTAATGATTTGAAAAATTTAATCTTGAAAAATTGATTTTGAATCCCTAATAATCGTTGCTTTGATACACAAATAGTGTTTTGTTTTTTTTCTCCTCCAGAGGGCACCTGTCAGCACAGAAAGCTGATTTCGTGACGTGATGTGACATGTGGCCAACTATGGTGACCCATACTCGGAATTAGTGCTCTGCATTTACCCATCCAAAGTGCACACACAGAGCAGTGAACACACACACACCGTGAACACACACCCGGAGCAGTGGGCAGCCATATTGCTGTGTTGGAGGTTCGGTGCCTTGCTCAAGGGTCTCATCTCAGTCGTGGTATTGAAGGTGGAAGAGAGCGCTGGTTATTAATCCGTGAGCTTCGGGTTACAAGTCCGACTCTCTATATATTAGGCCACGACTGCCTTAAAGGGGTCATATGATGCGATTTCAATTTTTCCTTTCTCTTTGGACTGTTACAAGCTCTTGGTGCATAAAGAAGATCTGTAAAGTTGCAAAGACTAAAGTCTCAAATCCAAAGAGATATTCTTTATAAAAG